TTTTATTGGTTGGCGTTACTATGTTAATAATAATTACATTATATTATGGACCACGAATTAACTTATCAAGAATTAGCCCATAGAAAGAAAGTAAGGACTTATTCAAAACGTTTCTTTACCGTATTGTCGGCTGTTTTAAGCACTGGGTATGTAGCAACATTGGTTTTTCATGTTTCTGATTTCAGTATATACTTTGCTACTATTGGTGCGGTAGTAAGTATGATTTCTCTTATATTAAATATGTGGTCATTAACTGATCATTTTCGCAAAAAAGAATTAGATGAAAAACATAAAATACAAGAAAAAACTTCAGGGAAATTAACCAAGATTTGTCTTGATATAACATCTAGCGGTTTATTTGTGCTAGGTGGAATAATACTCGTATTACCTTCTGATCTGCTATTACCTTTTAATCTGCTATCATCTTTAGGTCTGCCTATTGTTTCTACGCCTTTTTTCGCTTTGGGTTATTTTATTATGGCTGTAAATTGTACACGTTCAATAATCAACAGCTTACAGGTTGATCAGCATTATAATAATAATGAAGGAATAACCGTATAAATATATGATGTTTTGTTGACTTATACTAGTGATAAGACTATAAAGCTTTACAAAATGAGCTTTAGTTTTATGGCAGGTTTTTTACCCAGAACTCTTTTTCGAAAGGAGTTTATTTTTTATTATTCCAAGAAACTTATCATTATTCTATTATTTTCATTGTGTAGTTATAGCTTATTTGCTGATAATTTTGTGTCAACAAAATCAAACAAAATTAATATGAGAACTGGACCAGGAGTGCACTATCCTATTAAGTGGGTATATATCCGTAAAAATTTGCCCCTTAGAGTTATCGAAGAATTCGAAAATTGGAAAAAAGTCTGTGACATTGGTGAAGATTGTGGATGGATAAAAGGCACTCTATTAAGCAATAAACGTTATGTGATGATCAAGGAAGACACTTTTGGTTACAAAAAACAAAGTATAGATAGCACAATTGCTATGAAACTGGATAAATTTGTTATAATGGGAATAGAAAAATGCAGTGAAGATAAGTGTCTATTAGTTGCTTCAAAACGCAAAGCATGGGTGCAGAAAGAATTTATATGGGGAATAGAATAAAATTATCTTACTTATTTGTATCATAAAAAGGAACAATGATTTTAGCCGCAAAAATGCTTTTAACTTCTTCTTTCGTCTTTGGCTTTGCCCTTTTTCCTTACTTCATCAGGCTTTTTAAGCAAGTAAGCAAGGATGGACAGCCAATTAGATCATGCGGGCCTGAAAGTCATATTATAGCAAAAAAGAATATACCAACCATGGGTGGAATAGTAATATTGTTTTCTGCTTTATTGCCGATTCTATTTTTGGTGCAGTTAACACCAAAAATTTTGCTACTAATATTCACAACTTTATCTTTTGCTTTACTTGGTTTTTTTGATGATTACCTAAAATTAAAAGCAAAGAGCTATCAAGGTTTAAGTGCAAAAACAAAAATCCTTATTCAATTTTTTGTTGCAGTAATTGGTATGCTGGTACTTAAGATGTACTCCACTGATGACTTCACAAAGATATATGTATTTAAGGAAACAATTATTGATATTAGCTATCTGTATATTCCATTTGCTGCATTTGTAATAGTAGGAACTTCTAATGCTGTAAATCTTACAGATGGATTGGATGGCCTTGCTGCAACACAGGCAATAACTTCTTTTGCTTCTTTAGGATTAGTTGCATACTTAATGCAAGAAGATACTAATGTTATCTTATTCTGTATTGCTTTTATAGGGGCAATTTTGAGTTTTTTGTGGTTTAATTCGCATCCAGCAAGAATATTTATGGGAGATGTTGGAAGTCTAGGAATAGGTGCAGCTTTAGGTTTAGTTAGTATTTTAATAAAAAGAGAAATACTTTTTGCAGTGATAGGAGGAATTTTTGTCATAGAAACTCTATCTGTAATTATTCAGGTATCATACTTTAAATGTACAAAAGGCAAGAGGATTTTTCTCATGTCACCAATACATCATCATTTTGAAAAGAAAGGGTGGTCAGAAAACACAATAGTTATGAGATTTTGGATAATTTCTATTTTTTGCTCAGTTTTAAGTATAGCATTTTTACTATGATATTTTATGAAATACCCAGATTTTACATTAGAAAACGAGCTACCAGGAATTATAGCGGGAGTAGATGAAGTTGGCAGAGGTCCGCTCGCTGGTCCAGTCATATCTGCAGCAGTGGTTTTTACTGATAGAAGTACAGTTATTGATGGAATTAATGATTCAAAAAAACTTACTCCCAAGAGTAGACAAGCTCTATATTACAAAATAACGTCAGCTGCAAAATTCGGTATAGGAATAGCAAGTGTAGAAGAAATAAACTCATATAACATCTTAGAAGCAACAAAACTTTCGATGAAACGTGCATTGATAGATTTAAATCTAGATTTAGATTACGTCTTAGTGGATGGCAATCAACCCCCTGAAGTAAAATGGCGAGTAAAGCCCATAATAAATGGTGATAATATAAGCATATCAATAGCAGCAGCGTCGATCATCGCAAAGGTTACCAGAGATCAATTGATGCAGGAGCTGCATAATAAATATCCTCAATATAACTGGCATAAAAATAAGGGATACGGGACCAAAGAACACATTAATGCTATCAACCTTCATGGCATTACAGAACACCATAGAAAAAATTTTGCACCTTGCTCCTCAGCTTATTTTTCGGTCTCTTGC